GAATCAAGATCACATGAAGTGTTAATACCACTTTATAATGCCTTGGTAAGGCCACACTTGGAATCCTGCATTCAGTTTTGGTCTATAAAATCTATAAAAATAACCTTCATTCTGCCCTCCCTTAAACACTGCTGGAAGTTAACATCGATCTAACAACGCAGGGTAGAAACCTTTAAACCCCCCCCCCCCCTAACACTTTGGGCTTGAAATAATAGGCAGAACTGTTGACACGGTGCAGAGTTGCTCAACTGGGAGACAACCCATCGCTCTGCAAAAGCCTTTTCTAGAAAGCAGCTGGAAGCGGCTTGTCAACTTTTTTCAAAAGACACGGAAGTGCTTTGGCTTCTGCCGCTCCTTACGTTCACAGCGGAGAGCAAGCAGTTCGATTCTCAGCCAAGGCTATACTTAGTTCCACCACCGTCGCCGTTTTCGCAGATCAGAAACTCCAGCTGCTTCCCTGCACAACACCAACAAAACCTACAAATCCTCCTAACTTAACATGCCCTAGAAAGTTGAGAAGTTGCACAGCTATATAAAAAAAAAAATTGTCCTTTTGGGGGGGGGGGGCAGAGGAATTATACAGGTGGTCCTCAAACTTACCGTTGCATTGAAGCCCCATGTTTCTGTTGTTAAGTGAGTTCTGTCCCATTTTACCACCTGTTAGTGCCGCTAACTCTATAACAAAGTGTTCCTTTCTGGCAGTTAAACAAATCCGCTCCGTTCTCAACCTTCAGCCATTCTGACATTAATTCAAAGTGCCATTACCAAAGACTGCACTTTATTTAAAAAAAAAAAATTAGAGATACATAAGAGCATTTACAAAGGATTTTTTTTTTAAAAAAAACCAGGCTGTAAACTCAAATCTACGAAGAGGTCTTTTTCCTTCCATGGCTAATTGCAACCAGCGCATTGTTGGGTCTTCCCAGCACCAGTGGGGGGCAAAACCTCTTTATTTATTCTTCGGATCAGCACATCCAAAATAACTCTTCCCTTAGCAGCAATCCAAGCACATCCCTGTTTGAGGTGCCTGGCATATACGAAGAGTTCATTTCAAGACAAGACATTCCATTAAAAAAAAGGAAAGGAAAGGAAAAAGGAAAACCAACTTTCAAATCTGGTCAGTTTCTTCCATAAAAATACATAAAAGATTTTTTTCCTCCCCTTCCCCATTCTAGCATTCATCGGGAGTCATTGGCAGCATCGGGCAAAAATAATAATAATAATAATGCAGAATTGTGAAAATAAAAACACAGAACGAGGGAGTTGTGTGTTTTAAAAAAAGCAGCCGATCAGGAGAAGAAGCAGCTTCCGTAGCAGCTTTAGCTATTTTGAGGTCCGAGAGAGTTTCTTGCTGCTCTGAGGTGGGGTGAGGACACCTGTGGGCAAAGGCGAACGCCTGTTTTTCTCAGCTAACATAGCTTGTTTGGCTCGAGCTTTGTCCTGGAAAAGAAGAATGCCAAAAGGGAACCATTGTTACTCACCCATTCAAATGCACCGATTGGATTGTACAGCTATGAGATTTGCAAAGCAGATATATACAAATCAGAGGTGGGTTCCTACCAGTTCGCACCTATTCGGTAGAACCGGTTCGTCAAATCTACCGAACCGGTTAGAAGAGGTTCCACCAG